TAGTGTTTTTCATAATTAAGAATTTGCTAAAAGAAATAATGATAGATAAAACAGATTAATAGCCACACGTGTTGATCGGAAAGAACTAGATGTTCTTCAACAGAAATACTGGAGAGGGTAGAGCAGTTCTGCAAGTAATAACTTGCAAATATATAATAAAGTCTCAGCAATATCCTGATTTATTAAGTGTTTTTACTTACGGCCTTTGATACACACTATTAGAAGTTGTGGGCTACTGTTCTTTCCCTTGCTAGCCTTAGGAAAGGTCTTCTCTTGCAAGGAAAAGTACTGGGTTATGTATATGTGTATAAATCAAAACACATACATAGACAGATATACACAAACCCATTACAGGACCGTGCAGCAACATTAAATTCTACGCTGAACAAGTTTCCTCTCCTACCCTTCAGAAACTGAGGGGAATTCCAGTGGTATGTAAATAACATCTTTAAAAAGAATAGTCAACTCAACCTGACATTGGCTGAATAGAAATGGATGTTTCTTTCCAGAAGTTTGCTCCGGAGTAAACCACTGGAGAGCTGAAGACTTTGGAGAGCTTTCAAATGAGATTTCGACAATTGCTTCCTGTCCCCTGTACAACAAAGAACATAGTCAGATGGTTCTGACACGACTCCTGATTATTGCTGAAATTCCTTCACAAACCTTTTTGGAAAACAGTAATACCAAGTTTTGCAGCACTGCTCCAAAGCCAGTGAAAGTATGAATAAGTAGCATATTAAAACAACTTTGCCCTTTCAATTGATACAAGCATAGTAACAATTAGCTATTTTATTTCAATTCTAATGCCTCAAGAAACTTCCTCTTTTATTGTTTTTACTAACCATAAATTTCTCCTCTTCTACAGCCCAAGGAGAACTGGAACTTTTTCTTTAAACTAGGAGGCTCAGCTAAGTATATATAGTCTTCCCACAACTATTTAACACTATACACATAAGTATAAAAAACCCCACAGCAATAAGTAGACAAAACAGAAAACGCATAAAGCCTGTATAAGAAAACTTGCCGCAAGATTTAAGATTTGCGCATTCTGCAAGTCAAAAAGTTTAAAACTTGCAACCGATGTTAGGTTTTGTAAAGGTGCTCCTTAAGTAGAAAAAAAATTACTAGATACAGGAATTACTGGAAATCCCCACTAACATTAGGGTTAATGAGAAAAATACAAAATGCCCCAACTTTAGTCAGGGCTCAGGATTCAAGAACTGGTGTTAAGGAAAAGCTAACAGCTCTGTGCAAGATAGGCACCAATTTGCTAACAAGAGTTCACATGTGCAAAAGATGATACAATCATATGCTTATTTTTTAAAACAAAACGTAACCATCACCACCACCAAGACCATGCAGAAGTACACGCATCTGTTATCTGAAAGTTCCAGCAACTCTTTAGAATTAACAATCCAGTCATAAATCAGAAAGAACTTCAGCTAATCGGAGAAACTGGACGCTAGATAAGCTGACCAGGTGTAGATATCTAGTTTATAGTCAGTATTCCAAAGTACATATTTGACAACAAAAGAAAAAGTAATTTGTATCACCATAAGGCACATATGCTTACTGAATAGTTAAAACTTACAGTTGTAACTCTTACCCTTTCCTATCACTATTAAGACTTACATGGGGGACCACAGGCAATACAAGGTAATAAATTCTTAGCACTGTATCTGTAGCTTTTTTTCTTACAAGAAAATCTAGCAATGAAGAAAAGCTGAAAGTCAAACAAACGAAACAATTCCCTACGCCTCCGATGTCGCCCGTTTGTTCAAGTACTCCATTTTTCAGGTTCACATCAGACCATAAGTGTTCTCCCAGAAGGGACAGGCAGCACATTCTGTATGGCTTTCCATTATTGCTTTTACTTAACAAGAATAACAGCTACTGTGTGACATTCCTTTTTCTTCCACTTTACATATTCTTCTAAACTGTACCAATTCAGAGAAGGAAGAAAAGTATTAGGAAGCAAACGTTGAGTTTTGAGAAGTAGTAATCACTTTCGAAAACTCATCAGTAAATGACAACTTATTATAAAATTATATTCAGACAAGGGAACTGCCTCATACAATCGCAGCTTTTAGCTTGAGCACATGAGATATCACGGAGTTACATCACAGAAAGCAAACGGTCAAAGGACCACGCTGAACTTGGCAACAACTTTTTATTTCATACAACTTAAAAGAGGTTGCTTATGTTTTGTTTGATGTCCATGTTTTTAGAGACCTGAGCCTCTAGTCAATATGATAACATTTGTATTGTTTAAAAATATATTTCCATCTAATCATAGTGGCAATCTGCAGTCCTGTGGGAGAACTGCAGGAGATCAGTCCTTGTATAAAAGGAAGGAAAACAGGGTCTGTTGCTCCATATGCTCCCTACTGGAGCAACTCTGAACACTGAGGCAGCTGAAGCAGAAGGAAGAATATTACCAATGAGAAATGCTGGAATAATCGTGACATGTTCCACACCATTTCACTACTCACTTTAGCAAGTCACTCCACAGATTATATCAGACCTGGACGCAGGTACAAAGACTCCCAAAGATTTGTCTGTCTAACGACAGGTAAATATTAAAATTCAACTGCAAGACTGTATATCAAATAAACGCAACACCCTAACTACCAAGTCCTTTCGCCAGCTTTATACAAAGACTCTGCAGACAGAAAGTACCTTATATTGTGCATTCTGGAAGCCCTCTAAAGGAGCAGGCAAAGGTACATACCTCCTCAATTCAAAGGGAAAAGTGATTTCCAGTGGAGTCCCCTTGAAACTGTGCTTCTGTCCAAAACCAAATTGTGCATCCTGTCCATTTACAGTCACTTTAAATATCTGGAGGTCTTTTGTATCCAAGACCTGTAACGAAGCAAATATTATATACTTGTTAAATTGTGTAATAATTAACATAGCACTCATCAAATCTCAAAAACAAGCCTATGTGAAGAAAAAAGGGCTTATAAGTAAAAACAAGACAACACAGTAGCTGCGTTGATTATTGGCAGTAAAAGAATTTTAAGACAGCAGCATCCAACTTAGAACTGGAGGGGAGAAAGAAAACCAGCTTCTGACCATGGAAGTTAAAACAGGAGTCTACTGACTCACAAAGTCAAAAGACTTCACGTGAGTACTCTACGATAAGGAGAAAAGGAGAAAGATTCAGGAGCTCTTGCTGAGACTTCCATCCCGCAACGGGCTACTATCAGCCAGGACTTTTGTACAACAGATGATGCGTTCAACAATGCAGCATTCACATATGCAGCAGGAGGAAAGTTTTGGTCTTTATTACTAATAGGATGGATTTTTTTTTTTTTTAAGCTTAACACAGGAGGATTTTACGGTGCTAGCAGGGAGGGGGAAAAAAATACCCCAAACTTGACTTTGGCCGCACAGTAAAGCTGAAAAGGTCTTGCTTTTATTTGCATTAAAACAGCGGAATGTTCGAAAATAGCCGGCATAATAAAAACCTGTAAGAAAAAGCCATGAAGGCAGCTTTCTAACGGCTCGGCTTATCCCTACCCACTCGGCAACAGGCTCTTCGCCATTTCCATGGGGAAAACCCGCCTTTCTACCGCTCCCTTTCACTCAGCTCAGCACTTCCAAGCGGGAAGCCGCCGCCCGCCAGGAGCAGCCAC